AACACTTAGATTAGTAGGCACACAGGAAGGGAAGAGAAAGGGCACAACAGGAAGGGAAGAGAAAGGGTGGGCGTACCTGGAGGAGCAAACGTAGACTGACGCGGCTGCCCGCGTTGAGCTGCGCCCGCAGAGGCCGCCGCCAGGGGGCGCCCGTGCTGGGGCAGCTCGTGATGCAGCCGGAGCCGTGAAGCACAGGCAGCTAGGGTTTCATGTAGCGCACGCGGACCAGCGGGAGAAGGCTGCGTCGGGGTGAAGCCGCGCCGGCGGCGACCGCTGGGGCCTGGTCGCACGGCGCGCCTGGGTGGGGGGGGAGGAGTAGGGCGGCCGCAGCAGCGCCCCGGTCGCGCTGGTGGCCGTCGCCCTTGCCGCGTCGTGAGGGAGAGGGAGAGAGAGCGGAGAGGAGAGAGGAGGGGACGGAGAAGCAGAAGCCCGATATATATTTGTCTCATTGGATTCGGACGAGAAGCTGGAGAAGCCAAAGGTAAGCAGTGGAGAAGCCGAAGTTAGAGAAAACGACGAGAAGCCGCTGTCCGTAGAATCCGCTCCAAACACTCAGGCTCCATCGCTTCGCTGAAAAAACAAGTCGAAACACTGTTCCAGCTGATTTGTTGTGAGAGAAAAACAATGTTCCGGCTGAAAAAACAAGCTGAAAAGTATAGATTATAAGACAAGCGAACAGAGTGTCAGAACCACACGATTGGAGATCTGACGGCAGCAGGATTTTGGGATGATGTGGAGTGGTGTTATGTGGAGAAGCCCTACGGGTGTTCTAGGGGTTAATGTTAAGTAGGTCAGGCACATAATGATCTAAGAGAAGGATCCAGTCCAGCTAGGGCGAGCTGCTCAACCGCTCCATGGGAATACGATGTAGCTCGATAAGTGAGGCTTGTCGGACGCTGTGTATTTTACTGTGGATTCTCTCGCGATCAATGAGACGACCTGCTCGATGCTGGTCTCTGGTCTACTATGCATGAACCATCCTCTTGGCTCTTGGCTCTTGGCCTCTCGGTACCGGGACAGGTATCATTAGCGTGCGATCGGGGTTTTGCTATGTAATCATATACCATGTTCGCTTGGCGGATAAGCCATGACTGAAAGTATTGTGAGCTGATTTGTCGTGAGAGAAAAATACTGTTCATTAACTGAAAAAGTACGGTTTATAAGTCAAACGGACGGGGCGATAGCCGTGGATCGGTCAATGCAAGCGTACTACTGTAGTACGTGTTTGCTTGCCGATCGGCGATCGTTTTCTGATGTCAAGCTAATAAGGTGGTTAGATCGCGTAGGGTACTACGGTCTACGGTTAGGCACACACGGCATGCATATACAGAGTGTGTAAACATGAGTCGTTATTGATTCTTTAATTTGTTATTGGTTCTTTGTTAGTATATAGTACTAGTGTATCGTCAATTATGATTCAGTACGGTTGTTTATGCCTTCTTTGGATCCGACAATGGATAATGAACATGGTCGGCATCCAACGCAGCTTGCGTCGCAGGTGGCACGATCGACATCGATGTAGACCCGCACATGGCCTAGAAATCTCTCGGCTACATATTCTCGCCTGGCGCATGCGGTTCTTGACACTATAGTTCCTGAATTTAGTCCTACATAAATTGGTCATTATTACAATATAGGAAAATTGAGGTAAGCCCTAAATGTTGGATTATAAGAACGGATGCATATATAGTAATGTAACATAATAATAAAAAAGCAACAGTACACTCTAACAGCACAGCTCTCCTTTTCAGAAAAAGAAAACTCTAGAGGGCGAGATGACCGCCTGAACAGTACAACAGAACTTTAGAGAACTGATGAACAAGTTTGGATTGGCAGTTTAGACGCAACTAACATATAGTATGTTTCTATCTGCTAAAAGACCTAATACATTTCTATATGAAAATAACTTTTCCCCCAAAAAAACAAAAAAAAATAGCAATCCAAGAAAAGAAAAAAAAAAGGAAAGAACTCACTAAGCCAATCAGCCCATAACTATAAGATTTTGGTAAATGTCGGCCCAAAACCTCGTTTCGGCTCGACTTGCATGGAGATGGAAAGTGGGCCAAATCCACCCCAATCACGAGGGGGTCACCGGCTGGTGCACTCAGCACGCGACCTGCATCGCATTCGCTTCAGTGACGCCGGAGCCGCGGCGCCGCACGACCTCACCTCACCGGCCACCCGATTCCCTTCACAAAAGTTACAAAACCAAATGTTACCTATCAGATTCATGATGGTAACTCCTCTATTTGGTCCTCGCCTTGGTGCCCGATTTGGGACTCTATTAACAGCCACCTCCTACTGCCAGTCACCCACAATCCTCTGCCAGGTGTAGTAGCTGACCTCTGGTTCCCTAACACTCGAACTTGGAACCTGGACCTTCTATCTAACATTTTCGATTCCCAAGCTGTCCAAGTTATTTCGCAGGTCCAAACGGTTCCCAGCCAGGATCCAGACATTCTGAGGTGGACTCCGGCCAGAAAGGGTGACTGCGCCACTAAAAACGTGTACAGATTTCTCAGTTCTCAAATGCAGGTTTAGCTGCCATCCACAGGATCAAGGAGCATCCAACACCAGGCCAGCAAGATTCTTCAGAGAGCTTGGAAGCACAAAAATCTTCCTCCTCTCATCAAGGCATTCACTTGGCGGCTAATCCGTAGAGCAATGGCTACTGGTAGCCGAGCTGCAAGATTTTCTTCACATATTGATGAACATTGCAGCACTTGTGGATTAGTTGAGACTGATGCACACTTGTTCTTTCACTGTGATTTTGCTCGTGCAGTTTGGTTTTCTGCTAGCCCACCTCTCAGAACTGATTCACTGCCCATGGAAGATGATAGAGTACAGGATATCCTTTCAATTATTATAACTGACTCAACTGATAACTCATTATTGCAAAAAATACTTACAACTTTGTGGTATATTTGGAAGGCTCGCAATGATCATAGATTTGCCAGGAAAACCTGGAATGCTTGGCAGGTGCACCATGCTGTTGTAGCTCATACAAACACAGCAGCCTTGGCAGATTCTACATGGGACGAACAGGTCAGTGGTGACAGAGATGCACAGCCCCAGCCAGCTGCCTCCCGATCAATCAGGGATCAATCTGATGGGAGCAGCCACCATGATGACCACTACGTCACAGCAACACCACAGATGCCTGAACAATTCAAACCAAGGTATCACTTCTGTCACTGCAGGTAACGATGCAACCCACACAATCATGCAGAGGCACGCGACAATGCAGGCCACACCGCCTGCTACCCTCCCAGGCTACACTGCTACCGAACCACCGGTCTTGGGTCATTCAGTTTCAGGTATGAGTCTCTCTGTTGCAGCTTCGGGGCAGCCTGAATCCCAGACGCCCGGACGTCCAAACCAACTGATGCACAGGTACATCGTCCATGAGCCGGCGCTACTCCCTGGAGTCAGATGTTATGCTGATGCCTCCACGACACCAGACTAGCAGTCTCAGTCACCCAGAACATCTGGTCTTGGAATATTCCTTGTCAACACCCAAGTTCAGCCGGCCCAAACGATCTACATCAAAGCAGTCACGACAGGTGTGCATTCTGTACTCATGGCGGAGGCGGCGGCTACAGCTCTAGCAGCTACTATCAATGACTGCCTCAGTTTCAACAACACCACCTTTTTATCGGATTGCCAGCAGCTAGGCCTTGTTTAGATCACTCCAAAATTCCAAGTTTTTTCACTCTCTCTCCATCACATCAATTTTTAGCCGCTTGCATGGAGCATTAAATGTAGGTAAAAAAAATAACTAATTGCACAGTTTAGTTGGAAATCACGAGATGAATCTTTTGAACTTAGTTGGTCTACGATTGGACAATATTTACCAAATAAGACGAAATGCTACTATTCATCGGGTTGAAATTTTCTTCAATCTAAACAAGGCCCTAGTTCAATTTCTTAATGATGCAGACCATTCCAATCCTCCGGATTGGAAGATTAAATCCTACACCCAGCTGTTTACAAATCACTCAAGAAATCGGCAGTCCAACATCTTCAAGATCAACCGTAACCTTAACACAACGGCTGATACTCTAGCAAAACAGGCTTATAATGTTTCTCAGTCCATTTCTACTCCTTATGAGCCTGTATGTTCTAATGCTTCTCATGTCTACCAGTGCCCCATGATGGCTGCACTGCAATGTGTAAACATAGACTCTGTATGCATCATCGCAGCTAAGTGCTGCTGAAATAAATTTGTTTGTTGTAAAAAAAAAACTGTCACAGATTATAGACCGAGCAGATCGCACATCCCTAGTCTTGTCAGATCCCTCATCATTGCAGACCTGAACGCATCGTCACCTGGAAATGCTAGCAGTTTTTTTTGGGTGCAGAACTACAGACGCCCGGCACCAACCATCATTATGCCCAGGGCATGCAACGGCGCATACATTGAGAGCAACAACGCAGCGCCCCCGGGCGTTGCACTGTTTCAGAGTCGAAGCAACACTAGCAGCAACAATGCAGATGCAACAACATCAAAGACCAATTAGCCAGGCAAAACTAGGGAAATTAATGTTGGAAAGACGCAACTCATTAACTGGAACCGGACCAAACAAACAAGAGTATTTCACTAAACAGTAAAGAAATTCAGCGAGAAACAACACTCCATGGATTGGCTATTGCATGAGCCCCGCTTGGCAAGCAACAAGTTCTGGGGGCCCAGAGGACAGCTCAACAAAAGGATAACCGTATTTTCACCAACTCAGGCAAGGTTAGAGGTATGCTTCATTAACCAAACAACTCTGGGTATTACCACGAATATCCTACTGAGCTAGTGAACAACCAATAGCACATCAGCTTCTTCTGAACAAGACAAACAAATCATGCCGGTTCCTTGGATGAGCCATTTTCTATGCTTCGTATCTCATATGATGGAGAAAAACAAGAACACTTCAGCAGAGAAAGCGGGACCTGTCTCATTCAAGTGAACCAATCTTGCACTCAGCAATACATAGAAGATGCCACCTCATCTAATACTGCTGCAGCGAACCTGCACAAGGAAAACAATTTGTGAAATTACATCAAAGCAGACATAAAGCAGGTCAAACAAAATATACAGAAACCGTAGCATTTATGTAGACCAATAATCTTCTACCCCAAACTCTTAGAAAGGCCTTGTCAAGAAGAAACTCTTAAAAGGTTCCATAAAAAGAAACACTTCAAAGGTTTGTGGAAACATATGCATAGTGCTGACTAGGCAAAAGTCAGACTGCCATTGGGTTCCTTCATTGAAATGTTTTAGCTACTAAATTGGAAGCAACACTATAATGAGTACACAAAAAGCTCTGTTGTCTTCCCATCCTTTTCATGCTTCCATATTTGTTCCCTGTTCCTGCCATTATTCTTCAAATCCTCTAAGATTCCCAAAAAAAACTTTAATATGAAAACTCAATAACATATCCCAATATGAAACAGAGAAAGCGGTGAACATTAATGGAACAGGCTTTCTGATGGAGGAGCTACGGTTGCACCAACCGCCAGGGATTCCCTGGCTGTGTGCAGGCGATTTTAATGAAGTGCTTTTTCACCATGAAAAGGAGGGAGGGGTCCCTCGAGCGCAGTCCTGTTTGGATCGCTTCAAGATGGCGTCGGAGAGCTGTGAGTTACATGATCTGGGTTTTATCGGCGATGTCTTTACTTGGCGGAATAAGCAGACAAAAGGGAGCACACATGTGAGAGAACGGCTGGACCAAGCCGTTGCTAATGGTGAATGGAGGGGGAAGTTTCCTACGGTTCTAGTGAGAAATGGAGATATGTTCAGATCAGACCACCGACCAGTCATCATTCTCTTAGAGAGAAATTACAAGGAGGTAGATCGGTGGAGGAGGTAACAGTGGCTTCAAGTTTGAAGCTAGTTGGTTGAAGGAAGAAGGATGCAGGCGTGTTGTAGAGGAGGTGTGGGGGTCTTGGGAAGAGAGTGGGGAGAATCTGAGCACAAAAATCAAAAGTGTTACTAGGAGTCTGAAGGAGTGGAGTTCAAATAGTTTGGGAGATTTGGAGAAGAGGTTGAAAGAAGCCAAGAGGGAGTTGGAGAAGTGGAGGCGAGCCCGATCAGTGATCATGCTGTCGGCCGAGAGGCGGTGTGGAGTTTCAAAGTAGACCGCCTGGAGGATCAAATAGATACATATTGGCGACAGCGTGCTCATATTAATTGGCTGCAGTTTGGGGACAGGAATACAAGCTATTTTCATAATGCCTGTTCGGAGAGGAAGAGAAGGAATAGGATTGGGAGATTGAAGAAGGAAGATGGGAGTTGGGTGGAGGATGAGAGGAGAAAATGGAGTTTATAACTAACCACTTTGTGCAGCTTTTCAGGGCGGGGAGGTCGGCACTGAGGCACAATTCCAACAAGTCCTCAGTGCGGTCCCAACCCGTGTCTCGGCAGACATGAACTCCAAGCTGATGGCCGAGTTTACTGAAGAGGAAATAAAGAGAGCTTTAGATTCCATTGGTGACCTAAAGGCTCCCGGCCCTGATGGTCTACCATCGGTCTTCTACAGAAATTTTGGAATGTGGTCGGTGAGAACCTAACGCTGGAGGTGCTGCACGTGGTGAATGGAGGGCATATACCAGAGGGTTGGAATGAAATGACCATTGCTTTGATTCCCAAGGTAGAAAAACCAGAGAAGGAAACTGAACTCCGCCCATCAGTTTGTGTAATGTGGTCTACAAAGTAGTATCCAAAGTCTTGTCTTTTCGCCCCACGGAATGTGCTGCTGGATATAATCACTCCGAACCAAAGTGATTTTGTACCTGGCCGTTTGATCTCAGATAACATTCTTATTGCTTATGAGATCACTCACTACCTGATGAATAAAAGAGAGGGTGACATTGGTTATGCAGCGATCAAGCTAGATATGAGTAAAGGCGACGACAGGGTTGAGTGGCATTTTCTTCGTGACATGATGGTGAAAATGGGCTTTTGTGAACAGTGGATTAATCTCATTATGGAATGTGTGACATCTGTGGGCTATCGCATTAAGGTGAATGGAGAATTGTCGGAGGGGTTCAAACCTGAAAGAGGTCTCGTCAGGGAGATCCGTTGTCACCATATTTGTTCCTCATCTGTGCAGAAGGTTTTTCTGCATTATTGCAGCAAGCAGAGCAGGAAGGGAAGATTGCGGGAGTGAAAGTTTGTCAGAGAGCACCTAGTGTTTCACACCACTTGTTTGCTGATGACTCTTTGATACTGATTCGCAACGGAGGGGGGACGCTAAACAGCTACAAGACATTCTGGATCTCTATGAATGCTGCTCTGGACAGATGATTAATAAGACAAAGTCGGCGGTCCTTTTTAGCCGGAATACTAATGCACACAGGAAGTCGGAGGTGTGTGATTTGCTGCAAATTACAAAAGAAACAATGAATGAACGGTATCTGGGACTCCTGGTACAGGTGGGCAAATAAAAAACAGGGACATTTGCTTACATCAAAGACAGGATTTGGCAACGTATTCAGGGGTGGAAGGAGAAATTTCTATCATGGGCAGGAAAGGAAATTCTAATAAAAGCCGTGGCACAAGCGATCCCGACATATGCTATGGGCTGCTCTGACTTAACTAAGACATTTTGTGATCAAGTGAGTACGATGGTGTGCCGATACTGGTGGAATCAACAGGAGGGTAAACACAAGATTCATTGGCTGCACCGGTATATACTGATGCGTCCAAAGAAGGAAGGGGGTTTGGGCTTCCGGGATATTCATGCCTTCAAATTGCTATGTTGTCGAAGCAGGCATGGAGACTATGGGAGAGGCCGGAGTCTCTCTGTGCACACATCCTGCGTGCAAAATATTACAGCAATGGCACAGTTCTGGATGCTAAACCAAAGGCTGCCATGTCCTACACTTGGAGGAGCATTTTGAAGGGGATTCAGACTTATGAAGAAAGGTATGATCTGGAGAGTGGGTGATAGTAGAGGCTTGAAAATTTGGGATGACCCTTGGCTACCGAGGGATCTCTAGGAAGCCTATCACGCCTAGAGGAACCAGCCTGGTGACGGATGTTGATGAGTTGATTGATCCCATGAATCGGGACTGGGACGTGGAGATGGTCAAAGATTTGTTCTGGGAAGAAGACCAGCAAGTCATCCCGGCAATTCCAGTGTTTGAAGGCCACGATAATCTGTTGGCAAGGAACTTTGACAAGCATGGTAAATTCAGCGACTGAGTGCGTCTGTCGGGACGACTTCATCAAAAGCCGGGATTGCCGAGCTGCACAAGGAGGAGTCGGCAACAAGATGAATTGATCTCGGAAGAAGATTTGGAGCTTAAGCTGCCCTAGCAAGGTCAAGCATTTCCTCCGGAGAATGACGCATGAGAGTCATCCACTTCGCTGTAGCCTAGCACGACGTGGCATGGAAATCGACACAAAGTGCCCGGTTTGTGCAAGAGACAAGTGAGGATGGAGGCCATCTTTTTTCAAGTGCAAACTAGCTAAACAGGTGGAATTTACTAGCTTTGGAGGGTAAGCGACGGAGTTTGGCACTGCAAATGTCAGCTATAGATGCAGTTTCAATCATATTGGCAGAAAGAGAAGAAGTTGCAATGCTGATGGTCATCACCCCTGTGGTCTATCCGGACGAATCGGAATGCGGTCAGAGAAGAAGGGCGGGGGAGGAGAGCCGAGGAGTTAGCACGTTCAATCAGAATATATGCTAATGAAATCTCCCAGACTCTGCGACCTCCACGATCGATGAGACCAATAGAGAGTGAGATGGCAAAAAACACCAGAGGGCTTCCTCAAATTAAACTGTGATGCGTCCTTCATTCAGAGTCAAAGATCGGCAGCTGGGGTTTCTTGATCCGTGATCATGATGGAGATGTGGTGATGTCGGGACGAGGAAGAATCAATAATGTGTTGAGTGCCTTCCACGCTGAGTTGATAGCCTGTTTGCAAGGTGTTCAAGTGGTGAGCAGTTTGGGTATTGGGAAGCTGATCCTTGAGACAGATGCACTTAACATTCAGCTAGCTATGCAGTCCCAAAGCTTCGACGTCCGACCTGAAGGGGGCCTGATCGAGGAGCTAAAGTCCTTTTCTAGGATAAATTTTAATGAATTCGTTTGTAATTTCTTGGGTAGAACTGGTAACAGGGCTGCCCATGTGTTGGCGAAGTCTAGGTTATGGGTGCATCAAGGTCAGGCGCTAATTACCAGTGCCATCCCTGATGATGTCTTTGTAATCGTTTCTGATGATTTGTCAGGAGAGTAATGAATCAGCCAAGTTAAAAAAAAACAGAGAAACCCATAATAAAAAAAAATTACCTTCAAACATGACACGAGATTGAGCTGAAGCTCTTTTGTAGTTTAGCAAGTCAATTATTGGATCATCAAAATCATCTGGGTGACTATCAACAGACAACGTGTGAAGACGCCTTGCTTTAGAGAGCACAAGCTTCATAAATGAAATTTCATTTGGAAGCCAAATGATACTACTCATCTCCACAGTTTGAAGATTGGCACACATGCCATCAGTCCACAGAGCATTTAAGAACCTCCAATCTGCCTCGAAACTCTGACCATCACCATCCCGCGACTTCACCAATAAAAGGAAATCAGTTGTAAACAACAAGATGACCTTCGAACAATGTAAATAGAAATATACTAAAGGCCACATCCAGCATTACCTCTATTTCTAGGTTTTGAAGGTTGTGACAACTCCTTAGCAAGGTAAACATGAACAAAATGGGGCGCATTTCAGTGAAGTCCATATATAACCTCAATAAGTTCAAGTTATAAAAGGTGAATGGAAGTGTATACGGCATCTTAACATCATCAGCCTGCGACCAAAAAAAATATATAAGAACATTGAAACTGGATAAAAGTCATACAGGGTCTAGAAATACAGATGAGATTTCTGCGTTATTTTGAAACAAGGGACCACAGGCACATGGAAACAGGGCAGGAATGAAACGATTGTTTCCTTTATTATTAATTATTAGTGTAGCTTTTCACGCTATTTCATTAGTATATGAGACTATGTTTACATTCCTGATCTATGTAATGAGCTTGCGCCAAGCACTAGCGTTTCAGCGTTGATTTATAACAAAGCACATAGTAAGGAGAACAAAGTGAAAATAATGTACCGGCAAGAAGAGAGCGAGCCTTTGAACACAAGCAAACCGAGCAAGGAGATCTCCAAAACCATGTTCATGCCACGGACAGAATAACACATCAATGTTGGCATATTTGATGCACGGCAGCCCTCCAAATCGCCAGCCATAGTCATAATCTGAACAGATTGATAGGAGACGGAGATTGGGCGCCTCAATCAATGAGTCTGGGTAGTCATCAGGGATGAACACATCAAACATATCCAGGGTATGAAGCAAGGGTGACCGACGAATGATAGTCTCCAATTGCCCACTGGCTGGGAAGTTAATAATGAAGAGGTCTAGCTCCTGGAGCGCTGGGAAGCCGGCGAATCCTACGGGGAGGGGTGGGATGTTGCAGCGTTGCAGCCGCAGGGACACGAGATCCCCGAAGGAGAAGGTGGAGGAGTGAAGGTTGAAGCATGATATGAGTCTGCCAAGTATGTGGATGGACTCGACGCGGCAGCGGGAGAGCGCGACGAGCCAGTCGTCGATGCGACCGGCAGACGCGTCATGGACGAAGATGTAGAAGAGGGAGACGCGGGGGCCGATGTAGGGGAGGAGGACGCTGTCGACGACCGAGGGCTGGAAGGCCGCGGGATGCGCCGCGCGCGGAGGTACTCGCCCTCGGTCTCCTTGAACATCCGGGAGGCCGCGAAGGCGTCGCAGAGCGCGGCCGCGATGTCGACGCAGTCGGGGGCGAGGCGGCGCGCCGCGGCGAGCGCGTCGCGGGCGACGCGGAGGTGCGGCGCCGCCGCAGCGTTCCTGGCCTCCGCGGTGCCGTCTCCGCGGGCCGCGCGGACGGCGGCGGCGTAGTGGAGCTCGCCCAGGAGGCGGTGCGTGACCGCCAGGTCCTGGTGCGCGAGCATGAGGTCGCGGGCCGCGGGCGAGCGCCTCGTTCTTGTGGTCGTCGTGGTCGAGGAGCAGCACCTCCGTGGCCTCCGCGTCCGCTTCGGCGTCGGCGTCGGCCATCGCGGTCGGAAGACGGCGAGGGCGCGGGGGTGGGGGTGTTCGGCGGCGAGGCGGGGTCCGGGCGGCGGAGCAGGGGGGGGTTTGTTTGGTTTAAAAAAAAAAATTCGGAAACCTTGTCTGGGTTTTGGGGAGGAGATACGGTGGAGCCGTGTAGGCGCAGGAAGGGTGGAGGGGATTTTATAGCGGAGGCTTTTAACTTTTTGCCATTATAAAGTTTGTAATTATCAAAAGTCATTAAAAAGTTTGAGCAGTCATAATTGCTACTGGTCAAAACATTTTTATCCTCAATGCCATTCCTGTCACATTCTGTTTTCAATGGTTTGACTATCCTGATATGTGGGTCCGGCTAGTTAAAATGTCTAGAATACCCCCATCTTGTTTCTAGCCGGCAACCCTATCCTCTGTAGACCCTCGTCGGAAGCGGCAACTGAAGAGCACGACGGCTCCTCTCCTCCAATGAGGCGGGCGGCAGCCGAGTCAATCACTTGAGGCGGTCTTGGTAGCGTGGCTTCAAGGTCGTCTTCTTCCATGGCTTCACCGGACAGCAACTCCCGCGTCGACACTGGCTCCCATGACCGCACCATACCTCGCCGTGGGGAGGCGCCCGCGCCCGCTGAAAGGTCCTTATTTGGTTTTGGTAATTAAGTGACAACTTTAGGTGGACTAATGTGTTTAAGTAAGATACATAGGTGATTAGTCCACAGGTACATGTGTGTGAACAATATATGCCATGACGGTGATGATGGCTCAAAGATGTTGCAAAGCTCACACATGTGATGATGAAGGAGCTTATTGCACATGAAACATGACATTGAGTCATGTGATCAAAGTGGAGAAGATCAAGACATGACTTGGCTTGATGGACCGGTTGCAAGCGTGAAGGGCAAGTCGAAGGCTTTGGAGTGATAGACCGCGTGGCGGTGAAGCTTGAGCAAGAGTTGGCACCGATGGACGAAAGCAACGGTGAAAAGCAAGTGAAGTCAAAATCGATGAACCAATACGGTCACGTGATGATATTAAGTGGATCATATTATTTGGTGATTGGTTGGTGCATGTGTTGCAACAACAATGGAGGAGATGGAATGAAATGCGTAAGGCAAAGGCATAACCTAGGGCATTTTATTTCACCAGTCATAGGTGAGTAGAGAAGTTTATGACCGGGTTTAGGATATATGGTCATACTATCAAGAGGGGCAAACTTATTTGCATATCGGTCATCTAGTGCCACTCGAGTGATCTAACTTTGCATTGTCGCTAGGATCGAGTGGCGTGGCAAATTGAGTGGCTAATCCTTTAGAAAATGTTTGTGAAAAGCTAACACACATACACATGGTGGTGTTGGCACATTTGCAAAAAAAAGAAGGTGGTGAAGAAAATGAGTTGAATGCGCTGGTCACGGGGTGACCGGACGCGTCTGACGTGAGGACGACGCGTCCGATATCTTCCCGACGTGACCGGACGCGTCCGATATCCATACCGGACGTGTCCGGTATTCTGGCCAGCCACAACAGAGTTGACGAGGTGACCGGACTCTAGGTCATAACAGTGACCAGACGCTGAGCCCTCTAACTCACTCTAGCTTGATAGTGTTCATCCGATTGAGTGAGTGAGTGATTCTAGTGCGATTGCACCGTGAGGTTGCATCAAGTGGCACTAGGTGGTCGTCTTGCAAGCCGGTGGTGCCTGTTACTCTTGGAGGTTCTCACCTCCTAGATGGCTTGGTGGTGGTCTCCGTCGAAGCCCGCAAGAAGCTTGCGTGGTGCTCCGGAGAAGAGCTTTGTGAGGGGCATTATGCTCGCCCTGCGAGAGCCGCGAAGAGCAACTCTAGTTGAGCATGTCATTGAGTTACCATCACTTTCGGGGTAGGTTCTTACGGTGCCCGACGTACAGGCTTAGCGGGTGATGCCAATTATCCGTCGAACCACCAAGTGAGCGGTCGACACAACGGGGACATAGCATGTTGGCAAGCACGTGAACCTCAGAAGAAAATCACCGTGTCAACATTGTTCTTTTCGTTGGTTTACAATCCCCTTATACAAGCTTGCAATTACTTTCATATACATTGTGCTTGTGTAGTTGCTCTTGTAATTAGTTAGCTTGTGTAGCTCACTAGTTACCTTCTTATTTGTGTAGCATAGAAGTAGCTCCCTTGCGTGGCTAATTTAGTTTGTATAACCTTGTTAGTCACATTGCTTAGTTTGTGTAGCTAAATAATTTGCGCTCTTTAATTTGGCATTGTTTGCCTTGTTATTAAGCATTGCTAGTGAGCTTATGAGCTTTATGCTTTTGCTTACTAGAATTGTGCAGGAGCTCCCTGGTGTGCAAAATACTAGTGGCATATGTTTGTGTGATCTTACTCCTAAGATTAGATAGGTGAGCTCTAGCTAGCCCGGTACCTTTGTCGCTTAATTAGGATCTTTATAAGGTGCTAGAGATAATAGATAGAGGGGTATAGTCTTAGCTATACCGATTGTTTTAATTCCACACTTGTTTCGGTTAGCCGACGCGATTAAATTTAGAAAGGACTATTCACCCCCTATAGTCCACCATCTAGACCCTACGCCTGCATCATCCTCGGCTCCGATGCCGTGCTCTACTCGGGCTCCTGTTCGTAGAACACCTTTACCGTGGCGTGGCTGTGGCGGTGCCTTTGCCGAGAGGATCAGCCCCGGCGTATACGTCCGCGACGACAGCACCTGGTGCGCGCGCGGATGCGGCTTCATGGTGCAGTCGTAGTAGTTCTGCGGGCGCTCCGGTGGGATGTGCGACGCCTCGGTGATGATTCACCGTGGACACCCTTCCCTACCCCTATTGTCAGCGTCCGCCGCCGGCATCGTCATCGAGTAGGCGCCTGTCCAAGGCTTGGATCGCGTTCGTTGGGGTGGTGATGCACTGGTGCTGGAGTCGCTGACGGGGCGGCGCGCCGCCTTCAAGGATGCAGAGAGCGGGAGCCCCACGGCCGCTTCTGCACACTGCGCAGCCTCGGCTGCTCCACCGCCACGGCACGCACATGCCGCTGATGGTGCTGCTTTCAGCCAGCGACTTCGATCTCGGCGCCATATGGATGTTGGTTTCACGTACTCAACACTCGCAGCGGGCACCTCCTTTGTAGCGGGCGGCGCGGTGCTAGCTGCCCTCCAGATCTGGCCTGTGCAACGCTAGCTGCCCTCCAGATCCAGCTTTGGTCGCCGCAGACTCGGCTCCTTTTCATCACATAACACGACACGTTCGATGATCCATGGACACTTCGGACATTATGGGCGAAGTAGTTGTTGCATTTTTTTAATTTAAGGAGTTGTTGCATTGATGATGAACAAGTTGACCAATGCGTCGTCTCCACGGCCGGGCGGCCGGCTTGCACAGGTGCACGTATGCCTTCCTGGTGACTGAAGAAGTTTACTGCTGCTACTTGCATATACGTGTATATACTTCTATTAGCTTGTCGCATACCTATAATATATACGTACATGATACACACATGCAACTTGCAAGCCTGTTTCTTCTGGCACACCTCACGTACGTAGGCGATTAGTTCATGCATCCTGCCTCTTTTCTTTATAGGGCAAATACGTGAATGCTTATACATTCTGGTTACTAGCTAGCTTCTTGCATTGTTAGTCTGTGATCAACAACCCCTGCAGATAAATATAGACGACGCCATGCATATTGGTCGCCTGTCTGGGGGGCTCTCTTTCTTAAATGAGTTAGAGCTCCATTACGTATTTTGAGAAATATAATAATATATATATGCTTCGTACATGTAATGCAAGTTCCTGCTAACACTATATAAGTAAACACTAAAAAAGATTATTGTGATGTATTTTGTTCCTTAGCTACAATTTTTTGTTGTGATGTCTTATGCTAAAGTTTTATGCAGTTTTCATTTTTTATCAGGTAGTACAAGTACTCGTTTTCGGGGATGATGGGCACGACGCTCCTTGTCCAACCGAACGCTCTCCTGCTCGAGTGGCACAGGAGGAAAATGAAATTTCAGCTCGCTTCTGTAGTCTGAGGGTGTTTAAGCCTGTAGTACAAGTACTCGTTTTCGTAGCTTAGTTTAACACCGCTAGTATCCAATGTGGACGGAACGGCGTAGAGGACAAAAAAGTTTTGACTAATGGCACTTGTGACCGCTCAAACTTTTTAATGACTTATGAGTAATTACAAACTTTTATAATAGCACACAGGTAAAAAGCCTCTTTATAGTGACGCCGTGGAAGGGAAAAGGGTGGTGGGGCCCGGCGAGCGGTGACCGCCACGGTGAGGTGTGGCTGGTTTGCTACAGCGCCGTGCAGTCACGCTCACAAGATTTTTGGGGTAGGTCGATGGAGATGTTGATGCGGGAGAAGGTTTGGTTTGTTGTGATTCAATTGGACCCACCAGTCAGTTAGATTACTTAAGGATGTTCGCTACAGGGACTAAAGTTTACACATCGGGTGTTTGGATATACTAATTAAAAGAACTAAACATTAGCTAATTATAGAAATCTATATTAAGCATAATTAATCCATCATCAGTACATGTTTATTGTAGCACCGCATTGTTAAATCATGGACTAATTAGGTTTAATAGATTCGTCTCGTAAATTAGTCTTAATCTGTGTAATTAGTTTTGCAATTAGTCTATGTTTAATACTACAAATTATAAATTAGTGTCTAAACATTCGATGTGACAGGGACTAAAATTTAGGAGACTAGGCGGCCATAGTAGAAGAGTTTTTTTTTTAATCGGGAAGAAGTGGTTTTATTATTTGTAGTAGATACTTGTACAACAATGGTGCATGGAAGTATTCTAGATCTGTACTAGGAGATGTGATTATATGATCAAATTCTGAAGTTAAAAATCTATGTGGGGTCCAACTTTTTAATGTGCAGTTATCACGAATCAGCCCAGACTGACTGCTCCTTTCGTTCTGTACAGAGTATGTATCGTATAGAGAGTGTAGACCAGCACATGGCCTAGGACTCCGCCTCTCCGTGAGGTATGTATGCGTGTACAGA